TTATATATATATATATATATATATATATATATATATATATATGTTATCTAAAATTTTACAAGAATTCTCGCAGAGTAAACGATGTGTGAATTGTGGCTTACGAGAAAACAGCGCAGTGTATATGACAATTTAACAAAAAAGGGTAAGTATATCATAAAACATAAAATAAAAATGGTTGTTTCCGACAACAGAAAATCACAATAAAATTCCCTCTACTTTTAATTGATAAAGAATTTCGTCCTATTTGTTTGATTTGAGGAACAGCGAAGAATCCACGTGAAATTAAGCAGCTGCATTTACGTATCATAAAATGATGTCACCTGGAACGTCACTTCTTGTTTAAGATAATTTACTCTTAAGTGCATATTATTTATGGTATATATAGGAGGATGCTTTCTATTTCCTGTTCATTTTTTATACCGAAACATTTAAATGATACTAAGCGAACGAACATGAGAATCGCCGTAGCGTTATACCTTTTGTCTGCATTTTGTATCGTACTTTTCTTTTCTAAGAAAATATGACATTACAAAAAGAGGAATTTTGCTTTTGCAATTTTAGTTTACAATTAAAAATTTTTAATCCAAGTTAACATTTATATGTAAAAATTAGGTGTTACGAACAAATACTCAAGCAAAAGAAAAGTATAAACTAAAGTGCAGAAATATGTATATTGACAAAAATTGCGATAGTATATACATTTAATCAAAGTAATGTAAATAATTGTTAACATAACGTCGTTCCATTTTAGGTTAATACATACAAGAGATATAGTAAAAATTGAAAGATAAAAATGAAGTACAAAAATGGCATTCAATCCTTCAATATCATACAGATAAGCTTGAAGATTTCAAAATTGAATTACCAAGCAAGATTTGAAGGAAGTCCTTGCTTATGTTTACCTGGCAAACACTAGGTACTGAATACTACATAGATTCAAGAAAAAGGAAAATACATATAAGTAATTATTCGAATCCATTTGTAAATTAAGTGTATGGTTACGAAAAAAATTCCTAAGTGCAAAATATAACATATAAAGAATATAATTATCAAATGCGTCATCACGTGGTTGTGATGACGCATTTGATAATTATATTCTTTATATGTTATATTTGTATGTTATATTGAGATCGTTCATTATACTATCATTTTTTATTTACCTTTTTTTCTTAGAGAGATGTGGACATCGCTAAGACGCAGGGTAAAAACACGGAATCATGCTATGATGACGCCATTAGGGCTATCAACGATATAAGCAATCAAATGCTGGTAGACAGCTATCAATGCATTGACAAATTCTTTATCGAGAAGAACTTTAGCTTCATTAGGAGTGTTATCTCGGTACATTTTCATATAATCATTAATATAAATGCCCGCGCGATTCTCTAGTAGGAGCGATTTATTCGCGTAGCCAAGTAATACTAACAAATCTTAAAATTTCTAATCGCTTGAATCTTTTTATAGAAGGTAAATAAGATGAAAAAAAAGTGAACACTATCCTTACGAACTGTTTTAAAAACGCCTATCATCGTAACTGCATAGCCAAAAAGCTTGTCAAAGTCAACAATTCTTTCTGGCGTTTTAAACAAAACATTGAGGCCACCATGATTAATGCGTGGCTCATGTCTGATCAAATTATTCTAAGGATCTTTGATTGTTAGATAGAAGTTTCCTCCAATACGCAATCAAAGGTCTTGGAAGTCAATGCCAGCGAATACATCAAGGCACTGTAGAAAAACCCTGTCAAGATAATATTATAACAACATCATGATAACGCGTCTTTTTGGTAATCAAAACAAAGATAAAGATTTACAAAACAAGTTTCAATTTCAAAATTCTGAGATATTATTAATTTATTTTGTGGTTTTATCGTTTTAATAGATACAAAAACTCGTTGCTACATTTTTCATGATATTTCTAGTATTGAAAGTAATTTCATTGCATAACATTCCATAAAAACTTTGTACGCACAACGGAAATAATTTAAAAATAGATAAGTTTACTTGTTTTGATGTAAATGAATATTTTTATTTTAATGGTAAAATTATATATTTAAAAAATTAATAAACAAAAAGCACATACATTTTTACATTAATATACATAAGACCGAAGTTTTATTGAAACAAATTCTTACAGATTTAACAAAGTTAAAGTCGAGCATAAATTAGGAAATAACGATTTTAAGTGATTTCTTCTTTCCGCGAGAATAATACTTCGCGTGCTACTTACACGTGATACGGGAAAAAAAGATATTAATCGAATAGAAAAATTTGCTATAGAATAAATTACATAACACGCATGCCTCTCAATGCTATATAAACGCTTTGCTGCTTTCCAAGTGGACGGACTGTTTGGTTTGGTCCTCTTGGTTTCCCATGGCAGCAGCCACTGTATTTCTCATTAACATCGCTACCGTCATGGGACCTACGCCGCCGGGGACTGGCGTGATGTGCCCAGCGACCTCTTTCACACTGTCATAATCTACATCTCCTACCAGCCGATACTTGCCGTCTGCCGTTTTCATCCTAGTGATACCAACATCGATTACACAAGCACCGGGTTTTATCATTTCTTTAGTGATTAGACCGGGAACCCCGGCCGCCACTACCACTAAATCCGCTAGTTTTGTGAACTTTTCCAGTTCAGTGTGGGGGGTGTGACGGTGGCAGATAGTCGTAGTCATGTCTAGCGCGCCCGTCTCACCTAATAATGATAAGACATCGTGAAAATTCGCGATAGTTATCGGTATTACTGTTACTCAAGTTATTTAATGCGAATTCAAAGGAGTAAGAAGAATTTATAGACTAGCGAGAAGTGAACTAAAAAGATCAAGAGATTATCACAAATTACTGATATGGCTCTAATCTGACTCCAAGTGTCGTAAACTCGCCATCAAATTAATAGGTTAATCACCTTTGCTGTCCGAATGAAGTAACAGCGCGATAGGCAGCCCGACGTGTTTCGATCTACCCACCACGACAGCGTTTTTTCCAAAAGTCTCGATTTTACTCCTAATCACTAATTCTCTTACAGCCAAAGCAGTGGCTGGCACGATACTCCTGCTGTCTAGTGTTAGATTACCAATATTTTCCAAGTGAAAACCGTCCACGTCTTTCTTGGGAATTATCGCTTGACACACTTCTTTGTCATTCATGCCTTTTGGTAATGGTAACTGCACCAGGATCCCATCAACAGTTGTATCCCTATTAAGACTATCAATCTCTTTCAAAAGATCCCCTTGCGTTATATTTTCTCCCAAGTGAACGGTATAACTTTCAATTCCTGTTTATTAACAAAGTTTATCAATTCGATTTGTGATTTCACCAATAGATATGATATAGATATGATAGATGTGACTGTCTATAAGTCGCCTATTGGAAACAAAAATGACTTTACCTATAAACTTCGCTGCTTTCATTTTTCTATCGACATAAGCTTTGCTAGATGGATGGTTCCCTACTAATATTGCCACCAGCTTTGGTCTCTTCTTCCCAGCATTTATATAAGTATCCATGACCATCTTTAATTCTTCCTGGATCTCTTCTGCTATTTTCTGCCCATCTATTATCTTCGCTACTTGCCTACAAATGATACAACAAATATACATCTAGAATTTGTATCGAGTTGATGCAATTGCAATAAATCTATGTTCGAATTACAATATTATAAATAATAATAATCGTTTGCTTCTTGAAATAATATAAATATTTAGAACAGGTAAATAATATTGATACATATTGCAATATTGTCTATGCTACTTATCTTAGGACTATAAAATATTCATCTGATAAATTGAAAGTGACAATTAACTACAAGTCAAAGATTAATATCTAAATCTAGATTGTGCAAGATGTTCCTGAATCATTCAGAATGTGAGATGCTCTGAGAAGTATCCTAAGATACCAGTATTTTAGGAAACCAATATAAAAGCATACAAATCTTCTTTAGGTTTTCCTGGCGAAGATTTGTACATTTGCACACTACACATATAAGTTTCTTTGGAAGTACTCCAAGAAAAATAAAAAATAATATTCTAATATAAAAGTGTTTATTCATGATTTGAGTTGAATACTGAAATATATATATCTAATTAATTGATAGTATCTTATATAATACAAAACGTCCTGAGATCGTTTTGTATATATATTCAGGACGTCTTAAAATATTCCTTATGATATCCTAGACACATTATGAATAATTTTTCTGAAAAAAAATTATATTGCTATATATATTTACCTGCATCTTGACAGATGCAGTTTTCTCACAAATCCTTGCGGTTGCTGTGTCACGGCGACAAGGAAGCTTCTCCAGGAGAACATGATTCGCTACTATTGTTGCTGTTACTACGAAGGATTCCACTCACTGTGTTCGGAAGCACGTGCTACTGCATACCGCGGTCGCGCGAGAGATACGAGAGGCACGAGTAAGCAATTCCGACTGTAGGAAGCTTGTGCAATTTCTACTATTTACGTCGTCTCGCGATGATATGTATGTCGTATAAACAGAATTGTCGCGAAAACGATAGGGTCAGCAGGGGGTCCGATATATAGCCGACGGTATTGCGAGATCGATAACCCCCCCTAGAACCAGATCACCACGAGTGAAAGGCAAGTGACCGGAGCACTTGTCCGACCAGTTTCGCTTTTTTCTTGCACAGGAAATCACGTAGAAAAATAAGCAGCCGTTTCTCGGGCTCCGGATAAGGAACTATAAATTCTTCGTAAAAAACAGACACACGTTACACGAGTACGTCAAAACTGCTCGTGACGTACAGATGTCAAGCACATTTCTAGCAGGATGATTTCGACGACGGTCTAAAGATAGCGCCACGAATCCATCGGTACGCACATGTGACTCAACACGAGGAATGTAATTATTGATGTCACGAACTTCTCTTTCTAATCTTAATATTTTTTTCAATATATATTTCTCTTTACGCCTTTAAAAATGTTTTATATCAGCAATATGTTGATATAAAGTCAATTCGATCGCTAATGTAAGTGTCCAACAAGTGAACGAGTGAACAATTTTTAATTTACAAAAGATATCACACCACATCCACGCTGTAATATTACTTGTGCACAAATTGTTTATTAAAAAATTAATTTATTGGAAAAACGATTAATATATATTTATCTTTTGTTGTGTGAATATACGAATTAATTCGGAGCATTTTCGTACAGAGACGAGAATATGCAAAATAACACGTTAGAGCGCTATAGAGCGATTAAGCGTAAAACTTTTAGTTTTGGAAAAGAGACACGCCGAACAAAATGAAAAGTAATATAATGTTAAAGTTAAGAACATAAAATCTGACTATATATAAACATACTACAATACCAAGGCAGTATTACTAGCGACGTGGTCCATCGTATAACAACTACTGTAAAGTAGGCCACCTAATAAATATTAAACAACGCTTCCGTTCTATTATATACGCTTTTGCATATCGCAAGATTTGATGGACGCACGTCGTATAGGTCTACGAACATTTCGCCATTCAAGAAGAACAAATTATTTCGCTCAAATTAATTATCCTGAAGTACAAACTTCATCCAAAGAATCCTGGTAGAAAATACATATTAAAAGTAAATATTTTCACGTCTATACACTGAGAGAACATATATAAAAATTAACTATTTATTCGGTGCGTACAAATAACATATTTACTTATGACATGATTATATTATATTTGAATTACAGAATTTAGATTTAAGTAAATATATTAAACAAAAATTAAGTTGATATTTACTTTAAAGTTAAAAATGTTATTAAAAAGACTTTTATTAGAAATATCGTAAATAAAAAGATGGATATAGAAACGAGAAAAATGATAAGCAAGAGAAAGCTAGTGCTATTGTACAAGCGTATATTGTAAAATAAAGTAACGCAATTACAAAAATAACGTAATTACAAAACTAAATGTTGAACTAAATATTCTATATTCGGACTCAGTTGCAAATTAAAATAACAGAGTAAATCATATGTGCGCTACAGACGAAAAAGAAATTGATGATCGGAGGCTAAATTGAAAAAACAATCAGGTTAATCAATAATGTCAATTACCAAGTTGACATCGTAAGAAACATTTGCCTTCCGTATCGAAACATGCTCAGACAAATAATATTTGTGAACAAATTTGTTCACTCGACATGATATGATTTGTAACGCACTTATAATTTATTCTGTTGTTTTAATTTGTAACTTCCACTGAGGAAAGTCCGAGTATAGGACTGAAACGTTTAGTTTTTGTAATGATGTTATTTTTGAAATTGCGTTATTTTATTTCACAAGTATACATTCATACAACACCGCTGGCTCTCACTATCACACATTTTTCTCAAGTTTTATTAAAATTAAAATTTATTTTTTATTGATACCTACCAAATGGACATTTTTTATTTTTTTAATATTTTTTTAATATTTTTCTTCTCAATGTATGTTATTACATCGTAAGACTAATTCTAGAAGAGAAATATAAAAACAAAATACACACACATATATATATGTTGTTTTGATTTCTTAATAAGAACTTTCACTATATTGATTTAGGTGAAGAATGCTTTTGCGTTTCTCACAGGTCAATTTTGATTGTTGTGCTCTTTCATATATGTCAGACTAGCGCGAATAGGTTCATCATCTTTCATTTTATAATTTTACATTGTAACGTAAGCCTTTATAACACAATCTCTTTCATAATACAGTCTTTCTTTCATAATAGATGCTCTGCATCCTATCATAATTCTGTAACGATGCAGTGACGCCAAAAATAGTTTCGCGAAATAGCAGTCTAGCAGTTATTATTATCCCGTACAGAGCACTTCGCTAAGCACGGGATACCGGAAAATTTTCGCGGATCCCTATGGTGGTCGAATATTTAGTTGGCCACAGGGACGGCGCATAGGACGCATACTTTCCACGATATTATAAGCCAAGCTCTAACAGCTTCCTCGACATGCGACCATTGATCAAATAGTTGCGCACGGAGTGCCGGCATGTACCTATGTTTGTTGCCGAATCTTGCTGTCAAAATTTCGACTCGCTGGAAAATCGATTGCAGTACGCCAACCGAAATGCCTAACGTTACTATCGAAAATATTTCTGGTATCTTCAATGACGCGGAAAGATACGTCGAATATATGTAGAAAATAGCGTTTTATTGAGGATTCTTTGAATGCTCGCTCCCTTTGACGGACATGTAAATACGTAGATGTATGTTTAGATATTTTTTTAATTAATTCGTCTCATCACTGAAACGTGATGTGACGTTACTTCATTTTAAAATTGAAACGAAGAACGGCCGAAGTCGGCATTGTAATCGACGAAAGGATTTTTAAAACGTAGAATATTAACGCTCGTACATCACAAAGGTATAATGTAAATTATAAAATATACGCTCACGCGCGTATATTCAGTTTTATATTCTGCTTCGAAGAGAAAGAGAGAGGTGCACGAGGCGGGGAAAAGAAGGGGGAGATAGAGAGAGGTACAACTATGTCACGCAGCTCAGCTATTTTAGTCGGTGGTGATTAATTCTAGCGAGTTCTTTTCGCGTGCTCGTACTGCTTGAATTTCCTAAATTCACCGGCTGGTTTTGAGCCCGCCAGAATTCCTCGGTACTCAACATTTTAACAATTCGACGCTCGTGCAACTGCACAACTATGATAATTATGCGCCCCTTTAGTGGCATCATCTCCTGCAAAACGAGCCTTTACGATTTTCGCGTTTAGCTCTCCCTTCTCGTAATGTTTTATTTTTTTCTCTCGTAAAATACGCGAAACCGCGTTATTTCTTTTTTTTTCGCAAGTACAGTCGGCCGTTCTCGATTACTCACGATGTTTCAGACGACGATGTTTCAGTGGACGTACGATCAGCGGGCCGGCTGTATTATGCAAAAAATATACGCCCGTTGGATGAATATAAATATGTATTCCCGTCCCGTGCGCCAGCATTCGCCCTTTGTCCTTTACCCTTCGCCTAACAATGTCTGGTAGCTTCGCGACAGGCGCTCATACATAATTTATCGTCCGAGGAATCGCTACGCTCCCAGCAACGATAAAACGGTTACTATAATTGCTATACATCGTTATCGCTGCCGATAACGATAGCGACGAGAGGCGAGATTTGCGTAAATGAGTTTTTTAAGTTTGGCTCTCTTTCCCGCATCTTGTTTTTATCTATACAGTGTCCCACTTTGAAACTGTATTATATTTTAACGATGGCTGATTCTTTCGCCGACATAACTATCGATCCTTTCGATCGATATCGCGTCGATTTTCGTAAATTTTCTCACCAAATAGTTTCCGACCAATTAACTCGATTAGGAATAAGGGGAGTTGTTAACAAACTAAGCTTTGGAACTACCGAGATAAGTGACAAAATCGTATTATCTAGGTATAACGATTTTATCTAAATAATATACATTCTCTCTCTCTTTTTTCTCTCGTTCGAAGCTGAGTTACAAAAATGTATAACGTTGCGGACTGGAAAAATACAATTAACGGTGACGTGTGTTTTTGTCTGACACTTGCTAAGAAGTACCATTTTCTATATTATTCGAAGAAGTTCCGGTTCGAGTACATAAAATGTACACTAAGAGAAAAAATGTGGTTAATTTCTTTAAAAATTACAGTTATTTTCAACACCAACTATTTTCTTCTTCTTGTGTGGTTCTGACAAAAAAAAGAATGATAGTAGGAGTGACGTATATTGAGAAAAAAATATTTGAAAATTTATTTGTGAGATATAAAGTTTATTTATGTAAAATAAATTTTTATCGCACAAAGAAATTTTCAAGTATTTTTTTCAGAGTATGCATGTAAAAGGTTATATATATAATAGAGTGTTTGTCTAGTAAGTTCTCTATATTAACTCCTACACTCTTTGACCGATTTAAACCAAATTTTGCACAGTTACTCTCTAGGACTATGTGGAAAATATGGACTACATGAAATCTGGACACATCTCGCCCTCTTCTTACGATTTCACCTCCTTGACACTTTGTGATAATTACACTAAACACTATTTATAATAAATATAAATTATAATAAACACAAATGTTTCCTAATAATTCTGTCACTATGTGATTATACTCACAAATACCAAACACTTTTTTCTCAGTATAGTTTTTAACCAAAACCTATTTAAAATATCTAGGAACATATGGTCGTGCCGTCGATATATCTCTCGAAAGTTTTGTTCATGAAAGATTGAATAAGTTAAATAAGAGAATAAGTTAATTAATCGGTATGCAAATGATTTTGTCGCTGAGAAAAATTAATTTGAGACTGACGAAGAGATTCGCGTTAAAATGTAACGCGGTAGAAAAGTCCGCCGCGTATATTACTACATGGCCACTTGGTTAGTGGTCGTTGCTGCAATCGCTCATGTCTCGACAACGCACTCCCTATCTTTCTTTTTATTTAACACTTACACCCAGGGGGTCTCGATAAACGCGAGATAAAACGCAAGTGCGTCTGAATGAACTTGTTTTCGGGGTATCACGTGCGACGAGTAGTCAGGACGTAAAATCGATGTTGTCATTTCTCTGAAAACACGCGGGAGTCGACAGACAGTTGACGTCAGTCAACGACGGGTCACGCATCGTCACGGCTTATCGTGAGTCTCCGGGTCTACTGGACGCTTGTTGAACTTTTGTAATGGATACTGGTCCGCGCACTACTGGACAACAATGACAACGTGCGCGCCGATATCGCGGTTATTTTGACTGAAATTGCGCGTGACGATTACGGTATCGTTGCAATACGCTGCTGCCACTTGCGATCACAATA